ACACACACACACACACACACACACACACCAAGAAGTCGCATGTTTTAATAGCATTTGTAATGACCTGTCAGAAATCTTACTTACGTTATCAATAATCCTGAATACACTGTATGCTGCTCCTCTCGCTGTGGCAAAAGCTTCTATATTGGGGGTGGCATGACCAAAGCTAAAGGCAGCAAACATGACTGAAAAAAACACCTTAAACCAGAAAATATAAACATTAGCGCAAGTTAAGGCAAAATTTTAAAAAGAAATGCATTTAGTATATCTCTGGAATACCTGCACATTTCCCCTGTACTTTACTCCTTTAAACACACTGCTAGAGCAGACAAATAACTGTTGATGTGCTAGAAATATAGAGTGCTCCTACCTTCCTTTTTCACGTGACATCACAGTGTATTCTCAGTTTTGAATTCCAAAGCACATGGTATCAGCCCTGTCTACTGATGGATTGCAAAGAACACAGACCTCCCCTTATCTCCTCCCCCTCTTCATCTGTATAGCCCCTTCTCATCTCCATAACTCCACCTTATCTCCTTTCCTCTCTTTATCTCCATAACTCCTCTTTGTGCACAGTCAGAGAGCACAGGAAGTTTGCACTCATACAATTCTAACAGGATCAACTAATATTTTTGGCACTTAAAGATATAACAAAACACTTTCAATTGTATCTTTAACAAACCAAAAATGAGCAAATACGAGAAGTTTATTGCTAGGGTTTACATACACTTTAAATAATATGTATTCAAACACTTGTTTATTTAGCATAGACATATGAATGCAGGCTCTACAGGGACAAATTGTGGGTGCCATGCATTCCATACTTTAATTATACAATAAGGTCTTGCCAAAACAACACCAATCATCACAGCAATCTGATTTCAAGATCCCCCGGATGGTATTTCCAACTCTTACTCTCACACAAAAGTCTCATCAGAGAGAGCCACTCCATCATATAGAGATCTATCCATCAGAGTCTCTGAGAGATATGAGAACCTAGTGAGTCATTCAGCCCCCCAGCACCCAATAAATAAAAAATATTGGTTTAGGGTGGGATCCCTGATACTGCTTTTTTTACTGTGTGCCTCTCTGATCCTGGCTCCACTTTGTCACTAACAGCACAAACTTACAGTTTGTGAAACCAGGAAACCAGGTTTCAAGAGACAAAGAGGATTTTTCTACCTTATAAAGGTTATGGTATTAGCTTTTAGGCAGAACCTTACATTTTGAATTAAAATACGTGACAGGTTTACTTTAACATTAACCAAAGATGTGTGATAAAACCTTTGTCGTACCGTTAATATATCCCCGATGCTGAAGGCTTCATGGATTACCAGGGTGGTCCCATACCAGAATGCCAGCCCATAGGCTGAGTATATGGTTAGGTAAGCAAAGCCGATTGACACATTACTTGTGGTTGCCTTTTTGATGCCGATGTTCTTGGCATCTTCTAAATTCTTTTCATACCTGCAAAGATGGAAAATGATTTATTATTTAGTGCCCTGCTCTGCTCCTCCTTTCTGTCTTTCTTTTTCCTGTAATGTCCAATATCAGAATTCCAGTATGGAGTGTAATCCTACAGCCATCGGGTGGAGTTCAGAACTCAAGTGTGGGAATCTTACTATCAGAGCCAGCAAGTAATATAAGCAGTTTGCTGATTCAACCCTTCAGAATTTCTTCAGAACTAAAAACAAAATATGGATCGCATCACCCTTTAAAATATATTAGAAAAAAAAGAATTTGCATTGAGGAATTTTAGAAAATGTTCTGGATACAATATTATATACTACAAAAGAGAAAACAAGAAGCCTCTATCTTCACCTTTCAATTTCCTTATTTTGTCCACCAAATGCTATGACGGTTCGGATCGCCGCCAGGACTTCCTCCGCCACTGCTCCAGCTTTGGCATAGGCTTCTAGCTCTTGACTGGTAAACGCTGCCAGGATCTGAATATATAAATGTTCATATAAAAGCCATGACCACTATTTCTTCTACAACAGGAAGACATATTTAACAAAGTATCCAGAAGACCAAATGTCTGGGTTGCAAAGGAGAATATATCCCTTTGCCCATTTTGGAAAATGTGACAGGTTCTCTTTCTAGTCCACTCCCTACCCACCTATACTTTCACTGCATTCTCTTGCTCCATTTCTCAGTTGTCCTTTCGCCTGGTCCAAACACTGTCCTGTGGGGGGAGCGCATAATAGGCATGGGCACACCATAAGCGCAACACAGAAAACACAACAGCGGGCGCCATATTTTTAGTCACTGAGCCAGTGGAGAGATCACAAAAATCTCTCTGTGACAGAGATA